GGACTGGGTGGATCATTCACAACCGCACAGGCTTTAATTCATTCCTATGCATCTGATTGTACCCCCACCGAAAAAAGAAGCGTGGCATTTGGTTTATTCCACGGTGCTCTGTTCTTTGGAATTGCAGCTGGACCTGGCGGTGCAGCATTTTTGATCAAGCATGGAGGCACGCTGGTCGTCTTCTACATTGCACTCGCCTTCCATGCGACTTTCTGTCTATCGGTCTTCTTCATCGTGCCTGAATCTTTATCCAAGAGTCGACAGCTCGTGGCCCGCGACAAGCATCGCATGAAAATTGTGGATGCCGACTCTCGTAAATGGTACTCTTGGCGTGTCTGGAACCCAATGAACCTGATCACCCCGCTGGCAATCCTGATGCCTGCCGTTGGGAAGCCAAGTGTCTTATTCCCTAACCGCCGCGGTGCTAGTCTGGCTCTACGTCGGAATATCATGCTGCTAGCTGCTATCGACACCGCCGTCTTTGGAGTTGCCCTAGGCACTGTGCAAGTCATCATCATCTACGCCGAATACATGTTCAACTGGGGCAACGTGGAATCCAGTCTGTTTGTAGCGACCATTAATGTGGTGCGAGTGGTCAATCTTTTCCTGGTGCTTCCGCTTATCTCCCGGTTTTTCCGCACACCGTGCAAGGAAGATGGAACCATTCGCGGTTCGGATACGCTGGACATTGTTTTAATCCGCACGTCTATAATATTCGATATACTGGGCTACATCGGCTATGCTCTGTCCCAAACACCATCGGTTATGATAGCTTCTGGTGTCGTTGCCTCACTAGGTGGCATGGGATCTGCAATCCTGCAATCATCTCTGACCAAGCATGTCCCGAATGAACGCGTTGGACAGATGCTCGGTGCCACTGGTCTTTTGCATTCTCTTGCTCGAGTTGTTGCACCTACCGTCTTTAACTTAATCTACAGTCTAACTGTCGCAACGTTACCCCAGACAGTGTTTGTAGCACTTGCAGCTGTTTTTGGTGTAGCATTCCTTATGAGTCTGCTAATCAGGTCGCATGGTATGTTGCTTTTCCTAGGATCCTCCCTACAAGAAGTATACTAATTGTTGTGCCAGTTACCCTAGATGGTGGGCCCCCTGCCGATATAAGAGCGGAAGAAGATGCCGACGAGCATGACAGGCTTTTGCTATGACGGACGGTTATTTGAGTTAATGAGTTGCACTTCCTTGAATATGCTATGTATCTGTCCCGTAACATTCAAGCGAACGAACTATGTTCTGTATCATTGAAATAGACGAGGGTTTTTTTTAACTTCGGAGAACTTCTATCGATATATATAGCTGTTGGGTATCTAGATGCAAGCTAGAAACAAAAGACTACAGAGTTATTGGAGAAACACATTGGCAAATAATCTCTATAGTTCTACAATAACCGTACAATACCCCAATGGCAGCTCAAGTTTATTCGACAACTTTTTATTCTCAAAATATATCTGATATTTTGAATAGTTGAATAGTTGGATGACAGGAAGCTATGGATGTATTCGGTTAGATCCATGGGTCGTATGACCAGGTCAAACTCGGGCGGGCGGCACTGACCTAACACGCAATTTGATTTGCATCGGGAAAAAAGAAGTTGCTCCGAAGTTACCCTATTCTCTCAGCTTCAATTGCCTGTACACTTAATATTGGATCATAGCTGGTGATCGAAGCTATTCGAATTTCATTCATTTTACCTATCTCCTTATTTCGGGACATTGGTGCGAGGCCCATGCACGACTGGTGAACTCGCGCGCAACCCGCGCTCAGCACTTTCAATATGCTTGCTCGCGCCGCAAAATCCGGCTCGATAATACCTTCTCCAAATGCACTCCGAGTGCTCCGCCAATTGGCCCTGGCCGGCTCAACGGTTGGCGGATTCTGCACCGTCGCAGCCCTCACGTACGAAGCCCATCGCCGGGTCCGCATTGCCGAGAAAATCATCGAGAACAAACGGACGTTACACAGCACCGCACCGAATTATGATGCAACTTCTGCTGCCAAACGACTCAAGGTGATGGTGGAGGCGGCAGAGGCGGGCGAATTTCTGGGCATTGAATCCCTCAAGGCGAGGAATCGGAACATACCTGATGGGCCAGATGAGCCAGCGTTCGAGACAGAACAGGCTGCCCCAAAGCCCAAGCCTAAACCCCTGATTAGCTTGGCAAAACATCATGCTCGCTCAAAACGTTCGCTCTTTGGGGTCCATCCAATTGCGGAATCCCGCTACACGGCAAACATCGATGCTTCAAGCTTGGCTCAGAACGCTGAAATTCTGGCTCGTGAGAAACAGCAGAGCAAAATAGCAGAAGAATCTGGCAAGCTCCCCTTCGATGCCGAAATTCGCAGATTGTTAAACGAAGAACGGGAAATCACTGCTGCAAATCTGTTCTTGGCGCACACTCGGCAGACACCTATCATTTCTTGGGAACGCAGAGAGCTTGCATGTATTATATTCACTGCAAACTGCATCAAAGGAAACTTGTTCGTTGCTCGAACTTTGTTCAACCGCTTGGACAAAGTCAGTGTGGTCTCGGCGGAGATGTGGGCTACACTGATGCATCTGCTTGCGAAAGAGGGCCACATCGACGCTGTTGGCGTTATATATGATAGATTTAGAACTAGCTTTGCTGTTCCAACCCATCTGTTGGAGGTCATTCTCCGATGTCTGATTGAGTCTAAAAGATTGGACTCCGCCAAATACCTCTTCTTCCAGCGCTTCGAGGATGACCGAGATTGTGGTCTGTGCGGTGCCTATCTTGATGGATTATGGAGAAAGACTAGGAGCATGGAACTCCTGTCTGCCCAACTCGGCCTCATTCTCAAACATCTCGAGTCACTCGATCGGAAACCAACTGAAAAACTGTTCAACCCAATGGTCAAGGCCATGGTTGAGACTGGTCGAGCCGAAGAGGCCGAAGCTATGGTCAAGGCTATGTCAACACATTATGGGACTGAGCCTGGATGCCGGACCATTGGCTTGATTATCTACAACAGAGCCCTTAACTGTGAATGGGACAAGGTCATGGATGGCATGCGTGGTATGCACGAGCACGGATACACCGAATCAAAGAGGGATTTTACTATGATTTTCGACCGCGTCTTCTTGGAATACTATCCCACCCACACGGGCCCACAAATCCTCGACTTTGTCATCTCTTGCATCAACGATTTTGACATACAACCCGACAGAGTACTTCACCGACACATCCTCGAAGCGATCATTGAAAAGGGCGACGAAGATATGATCACAATAATCATGGACATGGCCCACGATCAGAATTGGGACACCGGCATTGACGACGAGTTTATCAAGTCACTAGTGAAGAGCCGACGACTTGCAATGACCGATAACCCGGTGGGGATCTGGCGGCTGAAGCAAGCCGCCAAGAATCGACAAGATCATTTAACTTCTTCCCGGCGCATCCTTGGGTCTAGTTCTGAGACTTGGGCAGTACGAGGAGAGAGAATTGCCCCGATTCATATTCCCGCCGAGGAATCTTTCCCTCGAACGGTGAGCGAGATGGTGGCCTCCAAAAATGCCAGTTTATACGTTCCGCTCCACAAACGGATGGAGCACTTTATCAATATGGGCAGACATTCCGATGCTCTGGCACTTTACGATCACTCGATCACGGGTGGGTATGTCGTCAGACCACTGCACCTGAAGCTAGCTGTGATCGCTGCCATCCTCAGTTGCAAAAAGACAGGCTTGGCCAATGCACGACGTCTGATTACATCCGAATGGGATTACTGGAAGAACGTTCCTTCTCTCCGTTATAGCAAGCGCTTCACTTCGTGGATTCCCATCTTCTTCCAGCGGGTCATGGAGGTGGACCCAGAAGCCATTGGGTACGGAGGCTTGATCAAGATGGCCATTTTTGAATATTATGATATTTGTGCCAACACCAATGGTCTTTTGGTGAAGCACTTCTGCGCGACTTCTTCCAGCCGTTACCTAATTGGGGGTGGAACACCAGAAATTGCCGTCGACCTCCTCACAACAATTTACCAATCTCGGTGGCGGATCTCTCATGGCTTCGACCAAGTGTTATTGAAGATGCTACTGCGTGCGTTCGCCAAGGTCCATAACTTCAAGGGGGTCTGGTGGTGCATAATGACAGTCCTCTCGCGGAATGAGCCCATCAATCAAGACTTTGTCGTGGAAGCTACCTCTCAGTTGGGTTCGTTGGAGAATGCGATTAGATCTTCTGGCTCCTACGATGCCACGGGGCAAGTGGTCGTACTCCGGCAGATTGTGGGGGCGCTGGAGGCCAAATTTGAAGGTGATTCGCATTGGTCAGCCATCAACGTCCAACCGGAGTTGAAAAAGGCGAATCGTTCCAAGCCATTCAAACACACCGAACATCAACATTTACTTCCCACCACAGACCTTGGGGAACTCATCATGAACTTTGATGAAGAGTTGGAGTTGGATATGTTGCTTAGACGCAAGCAGTTTGATGCTCCTGATCATGCGAAGTGGTGGGCTGAGTCCAATGTCTCAAAATTGCATACCGTCCCTTCAGAAGACCCTGAATACCCCTGGAATAACCCAGCGAATTGGGGTAGGCATTATGTGCCTGAGAAGTACTCGTCCGAGTATCACCTTGAATTTTCACCCAGAGGGGAATACGATGAGTATATGGAGTATGAGGATTATCAGGGGCATCGGGCGTCTCAATGAATATGTATAATAATGTAAATAGTATGTACAATAGCATAAATATCTATACAATGTTTTTTTTTTATATATCCGAGGTCAGTCCACTTGGATATAGATAATCCCGTGATGTCTCCTGCTGCGTAGAATTGAGAAGGCGGAGAGAGATCCTTTCACATGTCACGCCACCCCTTTCTATCCAAAAAAGAAACATCAGCCCATAAACACGGCCAATCGACTTTACTTTAAATCAATTGCTTAAGCCGAGAATGGTCCTGTATTCGTCGACTCCGTTCTGACAATATCTACTCTTTCAAACCCAAAAATGGCCTCGCTCAATGGCCACGCCCTCTCCCCGGCCGCTCAACGCCGCATCGATCACCACGAAGCCGATGTTGTAATTGTGGGTGCCGGAATCCTAGGATGCGCGCTTGCAGTCACACTAGGAAGACAAGGACGCAGTGTGATTCTGCTGGAAAAGTCGTTGGAGGAACCTGACCGCATTGTCGGTGAACTACTCCAACCGGGAGGTGTTCAGGCGCTCGAGCAATTAGGGCTACGGGATTGCCTGGAAGACATTGATGGCATTGACGTGAAGGGATATTGGGTTTCTTACCATGGCGAGCCGGTTCTCCTTGAATACCCCAAGTCCAGCCCAACCTCACCTACACCGCTGGGACGAGCCTTCCATCACGGTCGATTCGTGATGAAACTACGGGCAGCCGCTCTGTCCTGCCCCAATGTCACAGTTGTCGAAACGAAGGTGACTGGCCTGGTCACATCGTCACATACTGAGGAAGTCCTTGGAGTCGAGTGTATAACCAAGAACGTCAAGGATTGCTACTTCGCCCAACTCACCGTGGCCGCCGACGGCTACAACTCCGAATTCCGCAAGGAGCACCACCAGTACTCACCCAAACGGAAATCGAAGTTTTATGGTTTGGAACTCATTGATGCCAAACTCCCCGCACCCAATACTGGTCATGTCCTCCTCAGCGATAACCCACCTGTACTCATGTACCAAATCGGCACCCACGAGACCCGAATCCTTATCGATATCCCGGATAACTTCCCTCTGGCGTCGGTGAAAAATGGTGGTGTTAAGGGTTATATGCGAAGCAACATCCTACCCCAGCTCCCAAAGGGTGCGCAGCAGTCGTTCTCTGATGCACTAGAGCAAGGCCAGCTCCGGTCAATGCCGAACTCATTCCTGCCTGCTTCGGCCAACAAGACACCTGGTTTGGCGATTCTGGGAGATGCACTCAACATGCGACACCCTCTCACTGGTGGAGGCATGACGGTGGCGTTCAACGATGTCTGTCTCCTCCGCGAATTGCTCAGTCCAGAGCGCGTGCCCACCCTTTCCAATACAGGCCTCGTTCTTGAACAGCTAGCGGAATTCCACTGGAGACGAAAGAACTCTTCTTCGGTCATTAATATTCTCGCGCAGGCCCTCTATGCGCTCTTCGCCGCAGACAGTACGTATCCCTACTCTTCGGTTAATGTCCTCACAATTAACTGTTTATCCTTAGACGAAAGCCTTAGAGCTCTGCAGCGTGGTTGCTTCCGCTACTTCCAGATTGGACCGATTGGCGGCCCTGTTGGGCTGTTGGCCGGTCTGATCAAAAAGCCTCTCGTCCTCGTCAGCCACTTCTTCTCCGTCGCCTTCCTCTCAATCTGGGTTCTTTTCTGTGATACGCCTCTTACCCACCTTCTCCTATTCCCATACTACGCCGTCATGATATTGTACACAGCGTCTGTCGTGCTTTTGCCATACGTCTGGACCGAGATCTGGTACTGATTTGGCTTGAATTCGTCAATCAGTGTTCTAATTTTCCTCCGAAAAAAGCGACGGAGAACCCCAGCATATCGTTTTGTATTTTCTCCCTGGTGAACATATTTGTCTATTCTACCCGACATGTCTTTCTATTTTAATATCCCTCTTCGCTCTGTCTTTCTTCCCAACACCTTTATGTGGTTTAATTTTGTCTAGCATGCTACTGTATCTGATATACCGCAAGTTCGGCATTACAGATGTACTGTACTATATACCACATCATAGACCATGCTATTATCTCAATGATAAATGATGCAATGTCAATATATTCCATTTCAATAACCAACGCTTTCCTCCGCTAATGCTACATAAAATGCCCAAAAGACAAAATAACAATCAACTCCAATCTATATGATTCCGCATCCTCCCGTAACTCACAAACATGCACATCTTTCAGACCCTCCCACTTCCAGTATCCATAGCCAGATATCAGATACACCAAAGAAGATACATATAAAGACCCAATCAGAACAAATCAATACAAAGCATATAAGCCAACACCCCAAAACAAAACGAAAACGAAAACGCAAAGAAGTTAGGCGCAATCGGCATCGGGGCCGTCACACGACCAACCCAGGGCATATCGAAGCCCAGCTGGAAATTCGAATTGGAATTCAGCGAAAAAACAGACATGACCGCACCGACTGGCCGCATGATGCAGTTGTGGATGAATGATATGCTAGAATAGGTCTCGCTGACTATCCCGTAGGCGAAGAAAAAGCAATAATACAAATACAGCAAGAATGGAACGAATATCTTCCACATCTTTTTTCTTCTTGGGCTGATTGGCAGAGTGGGATATACACCCTTGGGTATATATATTGGGGTCTTTGGGGGTTGTGGTTTGACCGGTCTGGTGAATTTGATAATGCGGATGTAAGTTGTCTTGGGTGGGAGTTGAGCCTTGGAGGTTGAGGTAGGGAGAGGATGAGGAGCACGAGAGAGAGAGAGGGAGAGAGAATATGAGAACTAGGATTTTCTTCCCTTTCTTCCCTTTGTTCTCGGGGTCTTTGTTATTCGCATCTTTGTTATGCTTGGTCTCCCATTTAGGGTATACCATGTAGACACTTTGCTGAACAGCATGCAGTTAGATGCTTCAAGGCAGGGAGAATAAAAGATAATGTAACTAATCCAGGTATCAGGCATCATAGCCTTAAGCAGGGAAAGGGTCTTTTTTTTCGAAAATTTTGGTTTGTTTCTCATTGGCAACAAGGCAGTTAATCTCTTTCTTTTGTACAGAACCAGGACCGAAAAAAAAGAAAAAAATTTGGCATAAGAAAATGAAAAAGAGACACAGAACCGGGTCTAACCATGAACACAAAGAACTCCAAACAGCTGCAAAGAAATCGTCTCGGTGCATGGGAGGCGTTTCCTGGAAAATGAACCGGCCAACTTTCCCGATGGCAACAATGCATGCATATATGGGCCCTAATCCCTCAAGGGAAAGGGGAGATAAAAAAAAACAAAGAGCAAAACAACATTGAACGTATTTCGGGGGAACATGAGTTCGTTTGGGGGATACAGCGTGGGAATTTGAAACTGAGCCATGGAATCAGGTTGGATGTGAGTATATGCTCAACCCACGTAGTCGTGGCTGGAGATGGTTTGGGGCAACGATACAACGATACACACTTGGTCAACCGCCTTTTCGCAAAGCATCATCTGATGGCACGAGCTCGTGACCGCCATTGATGCCGTTTCGAGGCTCCATTGACGATTTGGTGTTCTTGCGGCTCTTCTTCTTGGTCGTCTGCCATCCATGGTTGCTATCATTCGTGCCGTTAGTCTGTCCGCCTGATCTTCGGGACGAGTCTGTGCCCCGATCTTTGGTGCCCGGAGCAGCATTGTGAGAGCCGTCGTGTCGGCCTTGGCCTTTAGGCTTGCTCTTGCCACTGACACCGTTCGCCTTGTCGGAATGATCTCCATTGGTTCGGCGCTTCGAGTTGGTCGACTGATGCCGATTCTCATTCGGTCCAGATGCAGCAGGTTTCTCATTCAACTGTCCCGAGTGCCTAGCCTGCCCGGTTTCCTTTCCTGGTCCTTGTGCTGTACCATTCCTTGGTCGATCCGGACTTGTCTTCGTGGGTTGTTGTACCAGTTTCTCGGAATTCGACAGGTGGTAATTTTGCAGCCGGCTAGCGAGAAGCTCAGTTTGGCCATTCACATCTGACTGTTGTTCCCCACCCGCACCATTGACCTTTGGCGTTTCCGTAGATGGCCGAGTGAAGATAGCCGAGTGTTCTAAGTCAAGCGACCCGGAATCCTGGTAATCTTGAGACAAGGAATCGGAGAAACTTGCAGGTGTGTTCATGTTGTGATCATCGGACGACGTGTAATGGCTTATCGCGGAGTAAGGGTCAATCAATTCAGGCGCATATGCCGAGCGGGGCTCACTCGGACGCACCGATCCATCTACGATCAATGGACCAGGTGCAACTGGGCGTGGGGCGGACTGGACCGGTTGTGACGGGGGTTTAGAAGTGAGAGTGTGCTCCGAGCGAGCCGTTTCTGATGAGAACGATGCCGGTCGGTAGTCTGGCTGAAGGGGAACAAATGAATATCCATTCGAGACCAGACCCATCTGTGTGGACAATGGCGGCAGCATGGAACCTTGCTGAAAGGCTTGAAGCTGTTGAGGAGTTATATAATAACCCAACACATCTTGCTGCCGGTTGTCGTCCACAGAGTTCGAGCATGATCCATTGCTAGCAAGACTGTTTGAGCGCACTGCGTTCTCATCACCACTGCCTTCTCCGACTTCCAGCGACTCAGTGGCCGGCCTTTGTTTTGACCAGTTCTCCGTAGGTGGTGGCATGGAATAAAGGGGAATATAATTGGGAAGAGAGGGTGAGCCCTGAGGGCGTGCAGGTTGTGAATGTGCACGAAGAGACTTTGGGGATCCGTTGGCAGCTGACAATCGCCGAGAATTACGACGGGTATCAGGCATAACACTAACAGCAGACGGCGAGGGAGGGTTGGTGATGGTCACTTGCGAGCCAGCTGCACCAACTGACGCATAAGTGGGGTTATAGATCGATTGCTGTCGTTGAGTTGGGCTGAGAGTAGCATGGCTTGCTGTTCCAGTTCCAGATCTCGGTCGCGAGGTTTCCTCCGGAAATTCTTGCTGTTGAGGAACTGGAAATTGGATGAATGGCTGACGGATGAAAACTGGCGGTGGTCTCCCAGTGATCAATGCTTGGCTATGCAATTGCATCCGCAATTCTTGCTCCTGCGCCTGCAAGAGCTGGATCTGCTGATATAACTGGTCATGCAAAAGATACTGGGCTTGCTGTTGTGCCTGCAGAGAGATGTCTGCTGCATTGCCGGTGTTCGGCTGCCGGAAGTTTGACTTGTTTCCGGTGTTGGACTGCCGCCGCCCACCAGTGAGCCCACCCCGTGAAAACTGATTATTATATCTGCCGCCGCGGTTCCCTCCCCGTCCACCCCGCGATGGGAGGGAAGGTGTGAGAGTTGGACGCGGTTGGGGTGGGGGTCGTTCCCAGGTCCGCTCCTCTTCTGCTGGGAATTCGAACTGCTCGCAACACCCTTCTAGGTCACCGTTTGCGATATACTTGAAAGCCCTTCGCAATTCCAAATGTAATCCTCTAAATGAAGTATCATCGGCGGTGTTTCCTAGGTTTCTTGATGTGTTGAATGGCTCTTCCACGCACAGTCGGTTGTTCAACATCAGGTGCCAGCCCTTGGCTTCTTTGTTGATCAGGGTGCCGTCTCGTACTGAGATGACGTTCTTCTCGTAATCAAGTTCGTAGCCATAATACCGGAAAAATTGAAAGAGCAACTCGCCAACTGATTGCTTGTTCTTGCGGCCAAATTGAGACAAGGTCTTGAGGTCGTCATCGAACGAGCAGACCAATCCGTCGTGGGTCACCCTCTTCTTGTGCGGACGTGCTTGCAAACTTGGGAGAATTGGAGGGTTTCGTGTCTGCAGGAAATTAATGATCAAACAGATCCAGGTGTAAGAACTAAGGGTTCCTCCAAGTGCTGCATCATTGAGAATTCTTCGCTTTGTCCAGTGCTTGACAGTCATTGCCAAAGGCCGCACTCGTTCATCCACTTCAACATAGGTCCGAATCATTCGAGTGTTTTCTAGCGCCAAGGTGTTATTGACATTCATATCACAAGCTAACCGGAGCTCCGGGTCCCAAATCTTCACGATGGGGACTTTTGCGTGCGACACACACACCACGCGTTGCATCCCATCTGTTCAGGTCAGTCTGTCATTCAATCAAGTTGTGTCAACGGTGATTTCTTACGTTTAGCCAACACCTCAGCCAACAGGCACACATGCTCCAATTCCTTGTAGTTTGTTGTGATGCAAATGTCCACTGCTCAGGTTAGGATTTGTTTTGCCTTTTGATCGCTCTTGTGTCATAAAAAACAAAAGAAAACATACCATCCGAGTCACTGGAACAGAGCTTATTCCCTGACGAGCCAAAAATGTTCGCCTTAATATTATGACCAGGCCATTGCTCATTGAAAAGCTTCTCCAATTTCCGAACAAGTTGTCGTCGTCGATCATCACTCTCAGCAGATGGTAATAATTGATCATACAGATCCATGATCTCAGTCGACAATTTTTTCTCCTCGTCCGGGCTGAGCTGCTCCTTCAATGGGCCCTTCTCCTCCGGTAGTATATCTGCCCCTAGGCTGTACGGTATCCGTCGTCGAAAATACGCCATGGCGGTCTCATATTTACATCCTCCAAGCGGTTTCCGGGAGAATGGGGGCAGATGTGTGGCCTCGGAGTGGGTTGATCGAGGGGAAGTGCTTCCGCGGGCGGGGGACGGCGACCGGGAGTGAAACGATAGGTTGCGCGCATGTTGGTATGGGGTGGAAGGAAGGGAGTTGGACTGGTGCGAAGTCAAGGGAGGCCGAGCGGTCTCGGACACGTCAGATCGCGGCACATCGGATTGCGGCATCCATGCCATCGTGGAGGGCTGTGC